GATGCAGATCTAATTGGGATATTTTTCTTCAATTTCTCAAGATTTACTTTTAACATATGCAAGCAAAGCCTTTTACGAACCATGGAAAATAAATTTATTTGTACGCTGGTGCCAAAATTATGATCTCAGCCTTCCATCCATTAGAAAAAAACAAGTCAATGACTCAGAATTAATACCAATGTTTTTAAAACCGGACTGAATTTTGAACCGACTTGATAATCAGATCTCAGTTGAATTATTTAAACTTGGTTCAACTGAATTTTTTATTTTTTTAATAATTATTTATGTTTTTCTTTTTTTAGAGTAACAATGACTTATATTTAATTTTCTCTGTAATTTTATTTAATTTTTGTAATGTTATATTTTAAATTTTATTCATTTATTTTATTATCATTTTTTATTAAAAAAAATATAAGAACATTTTTAACTTATAAATCCATAAGAATATTTATAAATATAGAAATTTTGTATTTAAAAATTTGATTATTAAACATGAAAAAAAATGATAAACTGTGATAGCCACCAATGATCAGTGGTGATCAATGCTAACCGGAAACCGGTGATGCTAACTACCAGTAATTAGTAAACTAAAAAATTTGTATTTATAAAATTATAATAAATTTTTTTATAACCGAAAAATGTTTTCCTCATGAAAATGAGAAGTTTATTTATTTATTTTTTACCACGAAACTATTTTTTATAGATCGATTTTCCTAAGTACCCCAAATATTGAAAAATTTGGAACATATTTGTCAGACAAGTTATTTTCCGGAATAAGATTAATCCTGTCAAATCCAGGACGCATGATCTTCCATTTCATTGAAAAACTATGCTAGTTTTTTGTGCATGAAATATATTTGTGCAAGATTTGATGCACATCAATTGGTGCAGGAAAACGATTTGTTGTGTACAAGAAAATATTCACCTATTCAATGTGTACTCTATTACAAAAAACGAACTACACAACTACTTGGGCCGAATTTGTCGCTTCATCAATTTGCAAGTCTCCTTGAAGTTCAGTGGATCTAAAATTGCTCTTCATCAATTTCTACATAAATACCCAACAGTTACCCGTTGAATGAATAAAACCCAACAAGTGAAAAACCTGTATTTGTGGATGCAGTGCGTTGAAAATTTTGGAAGTTCCTCATTCAACTTTTGCAACTCCCCCAGCAGGCATGTTGCTTTCTGAAACAGTCTCCCTCACAAAGCTGGAAAAAAAAAAAAAAAAATCAGAAAACACAATATCAGGAATACACAGGGAAGGGAAGAACGAGTCAAGCTTTCAAACTATCTGAACTACAGATTTGAGAAGCTGAAGATCTGAAACCCTACAGTTTTCGCCTAAAAGAGTTATAAGACCTTCAGGATAGCATGGTTAAGAACAAATACCTTGCTAATTTGTCCCGTGATGATTGCAAGATATAGATGGAGAGAATAAGAGATAGCATCAACCCTGTTTTCATGCACAGATACATGCAAGTACATATACAGTAAACATCATTCCGCGTGTCACAAAACATTTACTCAGACAAGTATTGGAAAATAAAACTTTGTATAACTGATTTTTACCATCAATTTGAGCATAAATAATTTACCTGAACCAAACAACACATAGAATCCAGAACTAACATCAATTTCTGATTGTTCCTCCCTGTCAGAGCAAAGACAACCAAATTTAAATACAATTTTGAGCTGCTTATATTTTTCCTGGAAAAGCTGCATTTATAGAGCATTGCGCGCACGTCAACAGTTGGAAGAATGCACAGAGGAGATGTTACAAGCACAGAACATCATATAGGACAAAATCATTCAATTTTGCTTTTAGGGAAAAGGAGCATTGAAAAAAAAGTGCAACCATATGAACCTGGAACTGTTTGCTGATAATTTAGGAAATGGGATACAAAATTAGATTTTAAAAAAAAATAAAAAATAAAAAAAAAAGAAAATAAAAACATTTCATTGTGCAAACAGAAGCATTAGAAATGCAAATGCGACAAAGCACTTTGATTAAACTTTCTATGTCACTTAACAGCAAAGAGAGGGGAATTATTCTCAGGTTCAAATGATTGACAGGTTGATGACTTATGTCCTACACAGATCTAAATATAGGTCCACTGCACTTGAAACCCATGTGACAAAGCCTCAAGCTTAAAGCCAAGAAGTAGACAGCTAAACAATTCTAGTTTCATGTAGTCAGATACTCAGAATAATCGATCATACGCAATTGATGCAACGGCTGAATAATCTATGCGATTCATGGATATTCTGTATAGTGTTAAACTGTAAGCATGATCCAATTACCCAACCTCAACTGGTTCATGTAATTAACACTCACACATGAAACTCACTCTGAAAATGGGAAGAATTAGTAAAAACATGACTAGTTCTTTGCTTTGGAGCATCCAAACTTGCTGAAGAAGCATTGATTCAGTAATGATGACAAAACTAAGGATCAAATTAAAGCATGCCCATCAAAACCAATTAAGATAATAGTCAATGAAGTTCATTCCCAATGCAATGATACTAACCACGTGTATCTTACAAGAACATGCTTAGGCCAATGTTGAGGATCCCAGAATTGTTTACGAATATTTGGATGGATTTCAACATCTGTTCAAACCAAGAAAACCCATCAAATTCAGACAGATTGTGTTTTTACAACCTGATAAAAACACATTATATGGTTTAAGATTCAATAATAAGGAACAACCAACATAAGAAATCAAGATTGTGTTTCAAATCTCTTTAAGGATGGGGAGGCAGTCTCCCCCACCCCCACCCCCACCCTCCCCTCTCTTCTTTCTCTTCTTTCACCCTTCAGAAGGTGACCTAAATCAACCCTCATTTTAACTCATAATTAGTAGCCCATCCCATGTTTAAACAATTTATATTTTAGGACATTTAACAAGGATGTCAAATAAACAAAACTAGGACAGAGTGAAGAATACATAAGATTACACTAATACTATTAAACAATACAGCAACAGGAACTGCATCAGCAAGTGCAAGCATCGTCTAAAAATAGAGATAAGAGTAGCATGCACATGAAGCAAGTTTTTTGAATGCATGCAAAGGCTTTCAGTTAGAGGATTAAAGCAGCTACAGACGAGAGCTTATATAAACTAGTACGCCTTTTTAGAGAAATGAATATGGCCGTATGAAACAACATAAATTAAGGGGGCTGCAGGGAACTGATGGAAGTTTTTCTGCCAGTAAATCACAATGTAAATGTCTATGAGACTCAAGCTGATTGCAGCAGTAAATTATTTAATATCACATACAATGGTGAGGCATGTCTACAACTTTAGCAGTCACACCATGCAGATCAGTCCCAGAGTACCTCTGCATCGCATTAAAGCCAACAATTATCAGTGGTTAGATCATTTATAAGGTTCTGAGAAAATGAAATATATATATGAAATAATATGAAGCGAGTCAGTCTATGCAGTTGCAATCTGCAACATGACCAAAGAAGGTCCAGGAATCATGATATAATGGAAAAACAGTAAGTTCATGGAGCAAATGCTATCCTTACCAAATGCATATCAATCATTGGAACCTCAGAACTTTTACGATTTATCAGAAACAGCCATGGAACTAGAAATTTTTCTCTTCCAACTTGAAATGATCTGCAAATAGATCATTTTGTGAAAATGGTTATTCTATAGCGTCATCTAAAAATGCTGAAAAAAAGCAGTTTACCATTGAATCTCCAACTAATAATATATAAAAGCAATCCAATCCAGAAGCAAAAATCCAATTCCAAACCACAAAATTATCTGAAGCCTTACATTCTATCATCCGAATAAAATCAAATTTGGGATAAGTAGTAGATGAGAAAGCAAGTATTAGAAAAGGGAAGCATAGCTTGTACAAGCTATGAAAATTAAAATCAAATCATACAGCTCAACTGATATATAATTTTGGTTCCTCATAGTTGTACATTAAAAACTGGTTCATTCTTCTCAAAATGACAACAAAAAAAAAAAAAAAAAAAAAAAAAAAAACATTAAAAACTGGTTCATGTCTCGTGCTCAAGAATCGACGAACAAAGAAAAAAAAAAAAACAAAGAAGAAAAAAAAGAAGAAGTTTTACTTGTGGGTGAGTTGGGAGTCTGATATTATGTAGAGAGAAACGAAGAGAACCGAGTTTAGTGAGGGCAGTGCAAAGAAGTACTCTTTGGCTCCAGCGCAAAATGTACAAGAATGTGGACGAGAGATGTGACAGAAGTTGTCGCGAAAGAGCGGTATAAAGGAACAATGAACGGAAAAAAAAAAAAAAAAAAAAAAAAAAAAAAAGAAGAAGTTTACTTGTTGAGTTGAGTCTATAGATTAAAACAAGATGGAACCAGTTTAGTGACATCAAAAGTACTCTTTGCTCACCAAAATTACAAATGTTACAGAATTACAAAGTCAAAACTTCTAAAGGGGAACAATAACGGAATTTATATTTCTTACATTTTGTATGGATCAGCGCCTGTATAACCTGTCGGTTTTGGAATAGGAATCAGCACCTACACAATATACACCCAGAAATGAACGAAATCCAGAACACCCACCAAAAGAATTGAACAGTTGAGAACTAGCTCCAGAAAAGAGAGCTGGAAACCTAATTGAAACTTTGAAAAAAAGGTACCTCACGATTAACGGCAAACATAGGGCAATGTTTACCAATCATATCTTGCCACAAAGTTCTTGACTGCAATCATAAATCACATGGATCCTCAGCGACATGAATAGGAATAAACAACTAGACCTAATAGTATATAACATGAATAGAAAGAGAGAGATTGGGAAGGGGAGATAGAGAGCACGGACCGAGTGGTATTGACCCATTTTGCTCATAGGAACAATGTCTCCAGGTCTGTAAGCAAGTGAAATCGAAGCCAGTGATATTAACAACAATAAAACTGAAGAAATTCTTCTACTTCCGATCGAAACCATCTTGCTACGGCGATCTCGATGGTTCCTTTGATACTCGTTTCTGAGCTTAGCGACAGAGCTCCAAATCGCTTCTTCGCTTGATAGTCAATTTTGGGAACGAAACGGCACTTTTCTGTAGAAACGGCCCAATCCAACTAGTTTCGTTTCGTCTGTTAAAGTTCGATGCTGTTATGGTGCTTGCAGCCCAACATTCTTATCGGTGAGGTCGCATATAATGACGATTGTTACAAAGTAAGGCCCATTGTCCATTATAATTATTAGAAATTAAATTATCTTTAGTGATTATTATTAACATATTCTATTTAGATTTTTTTTTTATTTTATCCAAAACACAGCAAATTTTATAATATATTACTCGAGTTGAATTGCATTTTAATTTTGATTCTTAAATTCAGCCAGAAAACAAATAAAAGATTCAAATTTAATGTAAATAATCTATTAAAATTAAGTAAATTTATCTACTAAAATATAGCTCAATGATAAATACATATATATGGGTCATTTGTTATTCTTAAAATTATTTTTAAAGAAATATATTGTAAGATTAATTTTTTGTATAAAATAGAAAATAAAACTCGCTCAAATATATATATATTTTGTAAGATTAATTCTTTTGTATAAAATAGAAAATTAAAAATACTCGTCTTCAAACATATAATATATATATATTATAATATATATATACTATATATAATATAAACAATTTCTATATAAAAATTTATGATATAATATGTTATAATTGCAAACCATACAATACATTGATTTTTTTTTTTTAAGTAACCATAAAATTTATAATATACTCATAGCTTTAGTAAAAAGAAAAAAATATTAAAATTATAAATGATGATCTAAAATAATGACTAATATATTAACTATTATAAGAGCTAATACCAGTTTCGCGTACTTTAGTAATATAGTATTAAATTATATATGAAAAATAAAGTTAATTAAATTTAAATTACTTTAGTAAAATTTAAACTAGTTGATAAATAATTTTATTTTCATAAAAGTTTGATTTTTTAAAATTATAATAATAAAATATTATTGTAAATATGTTATTTCCTAATCAATTATTTAATTGTTGAATTTTTTATTTTATTATTTAATAAAGGTTTTATTTCTATTTTGGTAATACTCTTTTAGTAATATAAACTGCTTATAATATTATAATTTTTAATAAAAAATATATTATTTTTACTTTGTAACGTGTAAATTTAATGAGAATAAATAATGCACAATACACATTAAAAAAATAAAAATAATCTAATTTTAATTTTTAAATTAATTTTCTATTTAGATTTAAATTTTATTAGATAAAACAAAAAAATATATTAGTACATATATAAGTATAAATTAAATATAGTAAAAATTAATATTTTAAAAAATTTTAACTTTATTGATTGAAAAAAAATATAATTTAATTTTAATTAGCATTTTAAATTTCTATTTAAATCTAAATTATATTGGATAAACTATAGAAATTATATTATATACTAAATAAGGTATACATTAATAGAAATTTATATTATATACCTAAATAAGCGATATACATGTATATATGATAAAGACGATATAAAAATTTTTAAAATTTTAACTTCATTTGATCGAAAAATTTTTAATTTTATGTTTGATTGAAAACATAAAAATTAATTTAATTTTTATTGGTGTGTGTTAAGTTTAATATGATAACAATATAATTATTTTTTAATTATTATTTTTTTAACAAAAAATTTATAATTTGATTAATTATAATTATTTTCTATGAGTAATATTATAAAAAAAGTAATATGTTATTATTTATTGAAAATATATTATTAAAATTTATTGTTTTGACATAAATAAAAAATAGAGCTCACTAGAAATAATTATTAAAAAATATAAATTAGATTAATTAAAACACGTTATCATTAATAAACCCCACTATAACACTTATAATTATTTTCTATGAGTAATTATTATAAAAAAAGTAATATGTTATTATTTATTGAAAATATATTATTAAATTTATTGTTTGACATAAAATAAAAAATAGAGCTCACTAGAAATAATTATAAAATATAAAATTAGATTAAAACACGTTATCATTATAAACCATATAACACATTAAAAGTTTTTTTTTTCAAAAAAATAGCCATAAAATTAATTATATGCTCGTAGACTTTAGTAAAAGGTAAAAAAAAAAAGCCAAAATTATAAATTATGTTCTAAAATAATGATCAATATATAATGATTATTATGATAACTAAGATTGAGTTTTCATATTTTAATAATATGGATAATTCATGATATTATATTATATCGAAAAAATAAAATCAATTAAATTTAATAATTACAAGAAGATTCAAATTTTGGTAATGCTTTATCATTATCAAATATGTTATTTTCTTAATAAATTATTTAATTATAATTTTTTATTTTATTATTTTATGAAATATTTTTTTCTTTTGTGAATGGTTTTAGAATTTTAGAAATATTAATAGTCTATATTAAAAATATATAAAAATTAAATTACATATATTTACACAACATACAAAGTATGCTTATAATTTTAATAAAAAATTATATATAAATGAAATTATATTTACATAAAGTACAAAACGTGTAAAAGAATATAAATGAGGAAAATAAAAATTATATATAAATTAAATTATATTTACATAGAAGTATACAACGTGTAAAAGAATATAAATGAGGAAAATACTTGCGAAATAAGCGGCTGCTGGACTCCAAGTCGGAGCGGAGGGAGGCCGGAGAGGTGTGCTCCGCTGCCGCACACAGCTGGAAGTAAAAATAAAAATAAAAACACAAAATAAAAAAATAAAATAAATATAGAGAGCAAAAACAAAAAAAAAAAAAAGAAAGAAAATATTAGCGTATACTTTGCCAAAAGGTTTTCGCTGCAACAAAAACTGAAAATCGACAATCCACTGAATTGATACCGCTTTGGATTTCTTCCTTCAAAGCCACTTGTTTTCTGAATCTCCCCAAATTTGAAATTTCTTGCGCTGTTACCCGTCGTTTGCTTCCATTCTACCTGCCGTTTTTGGCAAAATTCCTGTTCACACTCACCAAATCCCGATCAATCAAATTAGAAAATACATCGATTCTAATTCAGATTCGCAAAAACACAGACGAAAAAAAAAAAAAAAAATTCGTTTCGTCAATATCTGGTTCGGCAGATGAGGATACTGTCGCCAGTTTGTGATAGATTTTGATTTTTATATTTTAGTACTTAAATGGGCGATCTTCGAGCTTGGTCACCCGAACCGAACGGCGTCGTTTTAGAGGAAAGGCCGTCGTGGTCGTCATCATCGCAGGGAAACCAAACGGTTATTATCAGTGCTGAGTATTGGCAAAAAGCTGAGGATTTGACTCAAGGAATTATAGCCCAGGTTCAGCCAACAGTTGTTTCTGAGGAGAGGAGAAAAGCTGTTATTGATTATGTGCAGAGGCTAATTAGAAAATCTATTGGTTGTGAGGTGATATTAACATTTGTATGTTTATTATATTGTTATCTATGTGTTTTTGCATACGTGAAATGGTATGTAGAGCTTACGAGATTTGCCGACTAATGATAATTTATGCTCTTAAGTGTCTTTTGCTGGGAAGAGAGTGTTGCCTGGTGTGTGAAGTCAAAGGGCACATTTTGTAGGTTGAGTTTGCTACTGATTCAATTTTGTCAAAAAAAAAAAAAAAATGTATTTAACTTAATGGATTGTTGTTTTGTATTCTGGCCATATAATTGATTCTTGCAGTCAATTTGCTTAGTTAGGTGTATACACCCTATGGCTTTATCCTTGTCAACCACAATCATCATTGCTCTGTTCAGAATTGTTGCTCTATTTGAGTTTTTCTATAGGGAAATGTGCCCTTTTGATCTTATTTTGATGTCTGACTATTCGTCGTGGTTATAGACTGTGTTTTAACTTTCTGTGGGTATGTTGAGATTGGAAAGGAGGATCAACTGTACGTATTTTGATTTTTTTGCTGGTGCCACTATGCTGCATCTGATGGTCTTCTCCGTTCCTTGGGGCGGATGTTTGTAATGTGATCTATGTTTACAAGTGCATGCATTATACTAATGAATCGGTTGAGAGAATCTCCCTTGTGAATACAGCTGATTGAGCCCTGTATTTCTAATCTGAGAGTTGAATTTTTGGTCAGTGGAGTGGAATGCATTGAAACCAACTAGAAGTTTGGTTGCTGGATTTGAAATTCAATGGCTGTGAGCTGAATGCCTGAATATTACATTCAAAACTAGTCAAGTGAGTTACTGAGTAATGTGTTTCAGCTCATCAAAGGCCAATCATTGTACAAAAATTATACGAGAAATATTATACACAAGGACTCAAGTGTGTTAATTACATTGAAAATGATATACTGTTTTTTTTTATTTGTTTCTATCTTTGATAATTTTAATGAGATGCCTTGTGTATTTGAAGTGAAGCCAAATTTTGAAATTATTTGAGCAATTGAATTGGTCTTTTCCAATTATCACTACCAGCAAAATTAGTACACATAAATTCAGATGTGTACATGCAAACATATAGATATGGGATGATCTATAATTGTTGTTTAAATACGAAGCAATACATGTGGTTGTAAAAGATTTTTAGTTGAAAGTGAGTGTTACTTGCTCACTAAATGAGTTAGGAATTTAGGATGAATGAATTTGCTGTGTATTTGAGTTTGATGATTTTTAGATTATTACTGTAATTAGGCAGTTAGGCTGATGTTCTGCTAATCAAAGCTAATTAAATTGGCTGCTGGATTTGAAAGTCAATGATCAAGAGCTTGATAGCATATTTATTGGAGCTTATGGAAGATAAACCATTGGCAAAGGTCTGCAATAAACAATACATTTACATGGAATCAAGTGAATTTTTTAGTTTTTGAAAAGAATATGTTGTTATCCCATAATTATATGTTGTTTCACCTTTATTTATATGTTTTATGTGCATTGTTGAAGTGAAACCTGAAATCAAATTTAGTTTGAGACTATGAAATCTTTTTACCAATTAAATCTGTTTTTGATCACTAGAATGGTAGACTTTTTATATGCATGATGAAAATTACAGTCCTTCCATGTAATTTATATTTCCTTTAGTTGACTCTTACACTCTATATTTTTAACATGCACTGCTTCTATTGTGGTCTAATCAAATGTTCGTTGGATAGGAATTGAATTCTGTAATTTATGATCTGATCTCGTCTGAAGTTAAAACTAGAGTATCTTCTAAGTAATTGTTCATTACAGGTCTTCCCATTTGGGTCAGTTCCACTGAAAACTTATCTTCCTGATGGAGATATTGATTTGACAGCATTTGGTGGTATGAATGTTGAGGAGGTGCTGGCCAATGACGTGTGTTCTGTACTTGAAAGGGAAGATAAGAACAGGACTGCTGAGTTTATAGTGAAGGATGTCCAATTAATCAGGGCAGAGGTTTTCATCTTGACCCTTGTTTACCATAGTCTATGCTTGTGTCAAACTATAACGTTATGTGCATGTATATATTTGTGGACGTGCGCACACACATGTAGATACAGTTATAGATTTAACATGTAAATGCTGAGAGCCCAAGTACAACACCTGAACCTTGTGATATTTTTGTGATAGACATACAGTGTACCATTTTTAAGGTATGGAGTTAGTAAAACAACAAGGAAAACAAGATTTTAAATTGCTTAAGCGCTTTAATATGGAATAAGTATCCTTCTGCTATTGGCACTACAGATTCTGTCGAGCACCGTGACGTTGATATATGTATAAACTATTTCAAAGGTAATTGCTCATTCTTAATTCTTAAAGCCAATCTTTTATTTCCTACAGTCCCTTTTAATTAATTGTTTGTGAACATACTACTATGGCCTCCCCCCTCCCCCTTCTCTTTTTCTCTTCTCTATCTTTCTTCTTCCTCACCAACCAATCTTTATGAGGTATTTAATTTTATCTTCTTGGCTTCTTCCCTGTTGCCTTATTTTGAATTCCATGAGGCTTCCAACTTTTCTGTGGAATTCACCAGCCTCTCTATTCGCTATACGTTGTGGTATATCTGATATCCTTTATCTGCATTTATTCTTAGATTGCATTTCTATCTATCTATCTATATATCTATCTATCTATCTATCTATATATATCTTCCCTGTTGCCTTATTTTGAATTCCATTGAGGCTTCAAATTCTGTGGAATTCACCAGTCTCTCTATTCGCTATACGTATTGTGGTATATCTTGGATATCCTTTATCTCATTTATTCTTAGATTGCATTTCTACCTATCTATCTATATATCTATCTATCTATCACTCATTCTATATATAGTATATATATATACTATATATATCCCTTAGATGTAAGTTTTGCTACTTTGCTATTTTATCTAGTATATTCTTAGATGAATATTCGTTGGTGGAAAACCTCACTTGCCCCAGTTCATTCAGTCATCATGGGAAGCATTTTATATATATATATATATATATATATATCCTTAGATTAAGTTGCTACTTGCTATTTATCTATGTATATTCTTAGATGAATATCGTTTGTGAAAACCATTGCCCAGTCAATCAGTCATCATGGAAGCATTTAAAAGTTTGCATGTTGTTGTTGCATGCATTCTTTTTTGTTCTTCACTCATTCGCTTTGTAAGATAACTGTATTACAAATTTAATTCTTGAGATGGCTAATTAAATTTTATGCAACTGATTTTATCATCAGCCTGTTAAATCTAATCAACCTACAACTGGATCAAGCTCTATCACCCAAGACCTAAATAAATAAGTGAGGTTGCATAGTTTTCTTTATTTAAAGAAAGCATGTTATATGATTTGTTCCTTTTTTCAGACTTGTAATTGTTTTAAATGTTGGATTTTCAAGATAACCTTGGAAATTCTTTCAAAATTTTCATCCCAGTTAAAGTTCTTTTAAAATGCCCTTCAGTTGTCTCCATACTTGGTACTGAAACATTGGGTCTCCTTGATGCAGGTTAAGCTCGTAAAATGTCTCGTACAGAACATTGTGGTAGATATCTCTTTCAATCAGTTAGGAGGACTTTGTACTTTATGCTTTCTTGAGAAGGTATCTTTCCTTGTAAAAGTCAATATTTAAGTGATGAATGATATCAACTTTAACAAATTATCACAATGATCCACGTCACTTTTTTGTGGATAGATCTTGCTAAGCTACAAGAAGTGATCCTCTTGTTCTGAGCCTTTTTTTTCCTTTGAACCAAAGTAAATTATAGCTGTCATATGCTTTGGTTACAAACTTGTCAGGCACATGTGATACATATGAGTTTTGATAATTTCAAATTAAGAAAATTTGTTGTATGGCTAGTAATACCCACAAGTCTCAGCTCCACCTGGATCAACAGTCTCTGCTCTAAAGGTATCTGTATTCTTCTGCTAAAGTTAATGTTCTTCTGCTGATTATTTACAGGTTGATCGCCTAATTGGCAAAGATCATCTTTTCAAACGCAGCATTATACTGATTAAAGCTTGGTGCTACTATGAGAGCCGTATTCTTGGTGCTCATCATGGCTTGATATCTACCTATGCTTTGGAGACTTTAGTTCTATATATCTTCCATCTCTTCCATTCATCGTTAAATGGTCCTTTAGCTGTGAGTCCTGTAATGGTTTCTGGCAGTTTGCTGTGCAGTTTTCTGGGGTTAATTTATCTCATTTATCATGTAATGCTTTACAGGTTCTCTATAAATTTTTGGACTATTTTAGCAAATTTGATTGGGACACCTACTGCATCAGTTTGAATGGTCCAGTCCGAATATCCTCCTTGCCAGAAGTTTTGGGTGAGCAAAAATCCATTCTCTTTTGATCTTGGTTACAGTGTTGATCTTGCTTGATTGAGATTCTTCATCTCTTTGTCCCTTTTGCAGTTGAGACACCTGAAAATGGTACATGTGATCTACTGCTTACTAATGATTTTCTCAAGGAATGTGTGGATACATTTTCAGTTCCTGCAAGAGGATACGAGACAAACTCACGAGCATTTTCCCCAAAGCATCTTAACATTGTTGATCCATTGAAAGAAAATAATAATCTTGGCCGGAGTGTAAGCAAAGGTATAACCACTCTCTACTCAGATGGAGGCTTCCTTTTCTTTGCCATTCCTATATGAAAGAAATATTAGGAAGTCTATTTAGTTTTGAGATATTGATTATGGGTTTCTTTAAAATCTTAGACCATCTTGTTTAAGCATATATCTGCTAAAAGGTTTTTTATACAATTTTTTTACATATTGCTTTGAGTTCTTACCATTACTTGAAAATCAAGGATGAATTGTGCCTACTGAAACTCAACCATGTCCCGTACTTGGTAAGAATCTATCAGCAAAATGTTAATACTTAATAGTAAAAGCCCCTGCAATCTAAAACTGAAAAGAGTCCTAATTTAGGATCGCTTCCTTGTACACTTTCCTATGGTGTTTCTGCATTTAAAAAGCCCTTATACTTCTCTTTTCAACTTGTCCATTAACTAACTAAATTACCACATTTTTACATCTCATTATGCATGTGTAATGCATTATAAATTCCTGAAAACATTAAGCTTCATCTTTGAATTCTCTGTAGATTCCTAATTAATTAGAAGAGCAATTAGTAAACTGTGAAGAGTTCTCATCAATTCACAATGTAGAAGTAAAGGATTCACCAGTTACTCATGCTGTTGGAAAAGCAAATATATATCTTTACCCACTAAGTTTTTACTCAGTTCTCTAACAGTTTATTGTTTACATTCTTCACTGAAAAGCAACTCATGCAACTAAAAAAATAACCAAAAGGAACATTTTAAGCAAAATTTTAGCCTCTGGATATCCTCTATGGAAATCACTCATAAAAAATTTTCATAAAAGGATGTCATGCTAAACTTACCTTTTATGCCCATCAGTTTTAACCATTGTCTGCCACATGTACAAACAAAGGATTTGTATAGTTCAAAGGGTGCTCCTGTTCCCTGTCCTTGGATATCTCTAAAAAGTTTGTTCCAAACCACTACCACTTTGATCTTCATTCATGTCAAAATGATTGGTAATCTCTCTTACTTTGAAACTGATGGAAGTCCAGGATTGGATGTTGAAGAGATTTATGTCCAGTGTTTACCGATTATTTATTACAAAAATAAATAGAAGACTCATCACCCACCTGAGAAAAGAAACATCATAGTTTAGGCCCATTGAAAGAAAAAATAGGAACCTGCATCTCAAGATCTCAAAAGATATTGATTATTTACCACCAATCGTCCCCTCTCTCTTATTTGGGAACTTCTTCATAAAGCATCATTTTAATCATCCTCTTCTAAAAGAGAAATACGTTAAAGAATTTGGTTAGCATGTCCTGAGAAAAAATGGGACAAAAGAGCTTGAACAAATTCTCCTAGCTACCTAAACCATTTTGAAAGTCCTGCTGGAGTGCCATCTTCCAACTCTTATTGAAACTTCCGAACCAAGATAAACCGAATGGAAGAGGATCCTCTCACCTTACCCTCTGCTGGTCAGAAAAAGACTGGATGAAAATCTTTTCTAGGACTAGCATATAAAACCTAGCCAATTAAATGCATGTTCTCCATGCATCCCAAATCTCGTAATCTCAAGAATATAAAATCACTTTGGTAATAGGCTTTGTCAATGTCCAATTTGTTAATCATTTTCAGACCCCCAAGCATTAAATCCACCAATTTGTTACTGATGCCCTTAAGCACCAAGCAAGCAAACAAACCATTGGATTAGCAGTCGAGTGTTTGCCTTGTAGTGCAGAAGTTTAGGAATCCAAACCTTGAATCCTCTCCTTCATTCCCTTGAACAAAAAATGCAAGGAAACATAAAAAGAGAGAGCAGTGTAGCCTACAAGCCTACAACTTGTAAACATTACTTATATCACTATAGACCTGTCTTTAATGGCATTAGTCTAACTCTGATGAGGGACTAGAGCAACGAAATTGCTTCTTAATGTAATTCATCCTATCCATTTGCAAATAATTACTGTAATAGTGACAAAATGCCCTTTGTTGGGCCATTCCAATTCTTTTGAAAAGAGCCCATATTGATATCATCTAGATCCAAAGTCTTATTATCAATTCTTTATAGAACAATTTTTGTTCAAAGATGAGAATTTATTTTAGAATGCCAGTACGATCTTTCAGTTTCTCTCTCTCTCTGTTATTTGTCTCTCTCTGTGTGTGCGTATGTGCACAACTAAAAAGTGCTAAACTTATGCCAATTTGCATCTCTGGGCTGAAATACCAAAAAAGGCTTATTGTAGACCAGTCTTAATAATGATTTTCAATTATTGCCAATAGTGGCCACCCCAGTTAAGTGCTAAGAAGCTTGCCTCCTATTCCAGTCGACCTATTTTTTTTTACTTGAAACCATTACATGACTTCAAAAAAGTTAGTTGAACTTTATTTTATTTTATTTTTTGGTTTGTTTTCCTTAAAAGATAAAAATCTAGGTGCCGTTTCCCATCTCTTGCTTGACTTGTTGACATAAAGCCTGAGGACAAAATGACAAGGGCCTGATCTTGTAATGAATAATATTAGACGTTGTTCCTAGGTTTTTTGGAACAACAGGCATATACATTACTTTAAATGCTACATAATGGTGCCACATCCGAATTTGTTATAATCTGCAATTATTGAAAAAAGCACCCCTTCTATGCAGGAAACTTTTACCGAATAAGGAGTGCTTTCTCTTATGGGGCTCGAAAGCTTGGGCTAATCCTTTCTCAACCAGAAGAAATTATAGCTGCAGAACTGTCAAAATTTTTTTCAAATACTTTGGATAGGCATGGAAGTGGACAGAGGCCTGACGTTCAAGATCCTGCACCTTCAGAGAGTCAGCATGGCTTTGCTGCTGCAATTTCATTTTCTGGTGCAGAGACAAATCAAGAAGATCAGACAATTTGTGAATCAGAATCTTCTGATTCAAGCAGCATACTTGGAGAATCTAGATTGGATCAAGAGCAACCTTTGCATGGAGACAATGTTAAGATATCGGGAAGGAAGATCTATTTTAGCAGAACTGTTAATGAACTGCAAAATTGTGCAAATGAGGCTGCTGTTTCAGAATTTCGTCTTTTTGGTGATGCAAAAGACCTAGCAACTTTTAAAATGCAAGGTCTTTCAATTGCAAAGGATGCACTTAAATTTTCTACTCCGAGTGTTGAAGAGAGTATATCTCCTATAGGTAAAGCACATCATGCACCTCATCTCTGTTTCTCTTCCTCAGTCATGGGGAATGGGGAAATGATAAATGATTGGAAACATCTAGAATGTTCTGGTTCTAAGGAGAAGAGGGTGTCATCTGGGATTCAGCCAGCACTGGCTGAGGATATGGTCCGTGCTGTCAACAATGACTGGGAAGACAAGCAGTTTGCTAGTCATGAGGCTTTATCCCCTGTTGAATCAACAAACCATCCATTACTCTGTAACTCAGTAGCTTGGTCCTCTGAAGACCTTTATCCCAGCCATTCCAGTAATCGACCTTGTGCTGATACTGCTGGATGCCCTGAAGCCTTCAATTCCTTGTCAGATCTTGGTGGAGATTTTGAGAGTCATCTAAACAGTTTGCATCTGGGCCGGTGGTGGTATGAGTATGCATTTAATGCATCTGTTGCTTCCATTTGTCCACAGCTGTTTCCTCAGTTCCAGAACAAGAATTCATGGGATGTAATAAGACGGTCGGTGCAGTTTAGGCGGAATGCTTTCTCTCAGATGAATGTCAACGGTGTTGTCTCAAGACCAGTTTTTCCCCCCATGAACCCTCCTTTGATGCCTGGTGCATCCTTTGGTAAGGAAGAAATGCCAAAGCCACGAGGAACAGGGACATATTTTCCAAACACGGTATGGTCACTCTTGGCATCTTGGTGTCATTTGGCAGCTTCTGTTTGTTTTATTAAATTGTTCAGGTGGCAGGCCTTTTCTTCTCAAATTGGTGTTATGCTTAACTTTTTGCAGAACCACTACAGGGATAGGAACATGACAGGTAGGGGAAGAAATCAAGCACCAATGAGTCCTCGTTCCAATGGTCGAACTGTGACTTCCCAGGAGAAACACTTGCCAGAAAGAAACGGCAGGGACCGTGAGCTGTCACAGGCACAATATCACATGCACCAAGATGGCGGAAAGCTTGGACCTTCAGATCTTCATCACACTGGATCTCCTGAAACCAAACATTATACCAATGTAAATGGTTCAATGCATCATTCTGAGAGGGTTGTGGAATTTGGGTCAATTGGGCATCTACCAATGGGGCCTTCCTCAATTGAAGGTGGCTGGCAGCCTAACCCAGGTTCTGCACCAGCTCATAACTATCGTGTGAGCCAAGCAATACCAGGAATGCAAGGGCCAAAACCTGTTTCAGCCATTAATCAGGACAGGTAAATAAATCCTAATTTTTTCCTTTTGTTTCATGGTAACGAACTTGGTAGAGTTATGGCTTGATGTTTATTCTCTTTGTTTCTGGACATATAGGATAGCCGTGCAATCATACCATTTGAAAGATGATGATTTCCCCCCTTTATCTGACTCCAGTGGAAAGGGAATGCCTGTGCATATGGTAAAGAAGCTTGAAAAATGAGAACAATAAATCCTAACCAAACAGCCTATGTCAGGTTTTTCAATTAGATGCCTCTGCGGCAACTTTTAGGATGCTCAGTGCATGGAGTTCCATGTTTTATTTCGTGTGCCATTTGTACATTATACTAATGACTCCTGAGCTGTCTTGTTTTTATGTATAGAATTGTCAAATTATGATTTTGGCTCAGGTTTTGTTTTTACCTCCTCCTCTGATGTAACTTAAATTGGAAAAAAAATAGTTTTCTTTTGCAGCTGTAATTAGAGAACCATTGCCTTTCGGAATTTTTTTTTTTTTTTTTTTTTTTTTCGGAATTTTTTTTTTTTTTTTTTTTTTCCCCTTTTTGGTGTTTGATGCGAGTTGAAGCAAGGCAATGGTTGAGAACTTCAATCAAAAGAAATTGGTTTTGGTCTCTTGAAATTTTGAATGCCAAAACCCTACCATAATCTTTCAAATGCAGTTTAGTGTTTCTTCTGCAGGCTTGCTAATGATATATTTTCGCTGCTGGAATGTGTCTACTGGTGTGGGATAACTTGTTTTCTTGTGCTACTAAGGCTCTCAAGCTGGTTTATCGTAGCCAGAGATCTCGCTGGAAAAAAAAAAAAAAAAAATCTATTTTGCGCATTTTGAATTATAAATGGTAGCTTTGACAGCGAAGGATTTGTGATTGTGATTACACCTTGGCAATCGAATTTGCTTGGTGGGGAACCAGACTTCTTTTTTTCCTAAAACCAGAATGGTTTATTTGATGGCGCAATGGTTCACACAAGCAGAAATAAACTTCCATAAAGTTTGACCAAAATGATGATGAAGAAAATATTAAATTATTTTATCTTTGAGAGCTAAAACTTGATATAATCATAAAGGTTTTTTATTAAGACTAATTTAAAATTATAGTTGTATCAATTTTGTTAAATGAATTAAAAGCATTAAATGCTCAAAGCCTCAAAGGCAAGATTGTTTGCCAATTATACAAAATCTATTCCCTGATTCCTTAACCTAATTTTTTTTTCGTAGCAGTTTCTCACCCTTTTTCCCACCTCAATACCTTCCTTTTAAATCTTAAAAAAAAAAAAAATCACTTATTTTTCTTTAATTTTGAGTGTTAATTTTGTAATTTTTTTTTTCAACCGTGGTAAAAGCTTTAGGTGGGAAAAAAAAAATGCAAATTTTTCACTTTATTATTTTTTTTTTTTTTAATTTCATCCATTTGAGTACCAACCAGACTGTTTGCCTGGCCAATCACGAATGCCATAACCTTCTGTGAAATTTCAAGTTTCAACTCTTATTTAAGGTCAGCTGAAATATAATTACCTTCTGTATGAATTTTCATGTTGATGTACAGCATTAAAGAAAAAAAAAAACAGCATGTTACGTATTAAGCGCCACGTATATTAAACTTTATTTGATTAATTCGTTACGTAGAAAAACAATAATTAAATTTAAATAATTATTGAAATAAATTTTAAGGTAAACAAGCGCAATATCAATTGATGAGTCTCTTGAACTTGGCAACAGTTTGATACAACATATTATTAATTATAAATTTTCATAATTAATTTAATTATAGCCATTAGTAACAAACACAGTATGAGAATGGAATGGGAGAGGTGACAAATTGCATTTTTGCAAATAATTTTCCTAAAAATTAAAATCTTATTACTAAATAAAAAATAAAGAACCAATGTGGACTTGACATGTAAATGCAATGTTCAACTCTGTTTTATTTTTTAAATTATAAGGTCACAACATATTGAAATTTTTAAAAAACATATTGTTGTGTGGTTTTCCCTTCGCAGATAGTATTAGTGGCCTTGATTGTAAGTGTGTGGCCTAGAACTACTTTTAAATTACCAATATATTTTTCATTTGCATTAAATAAAATTTTTTTTTCCTCTTTTAGTAATTCCCCTCCTTCTTTAATTAAATAAAAATCATAAAATATTGAAAATATGGATTTATTACTTTTATTTTAACTTTAGGGACTTTCAAAAAAAGAAAAAGAATTAGCGTAATTTTCATTTTTACATAATTTTGTATTTAACTTTAAATTATAAACTTTTTTTGAGACTATTCTTGTTTGATTGGTTCCGTATTGTCCCCTCTTTTTAAAATGTTTATGGTAAGCAAATTTTAGAAAGAGAGTATATGTGCAATGAAAATAAAAACGATAGAATATAATAAATTGAAAATGTTAACTTAAATATGTTGGATTTTTATATCAAAATTTATGTCCAATGATGCATAGTGTATTCAGATAATTAACAAATTGAAATAAAGTATTCCTTCCTCAGGATTTTTTATTCTCTTATAATTGGGTTATTCATTTTCCCTCTTTCATTCTCTTTTTTCTAATTTTTATAATTTTTATATGAGAGAAATTTCAAATTACGAAACATTTTTACTTTTTTAGTGCTGAAATAGTGGGGATTGAAATATTTAAATTTGAATTTCTCAATTTAAAAATTATCTAAAATTAATGAGAAATCTTAAGATTTAGTTTAAACTTAATATGATATATTTTTTTGGTATAATTAAATGATAGATTTTTTCAAGATCTAAGTCTAAATAAATGAATCAAAAAATGAATCTTCCCCATTCATGTTGTCCTCATAATTTTCTGTAAAAAGATTATAATTGATCCATAAAAAAGAAAGAAAGTAGGTACAAATCAATTCTTTTATAATTAAAATTTTCATTTATTATTTGAGCATAAATCGTTTTGTTCATTCAGATATAGTATATATATATATATATTATATAGTATATATATATCGCTAATTAATTTGTTGCTTTTATGGCTTTTGCATTTGTTTGATTTTTCCAAATTAATTTTTTTATACTGGCACGAGAATATTCCAGTTCCGTGTTCATTTAACGATCCACAAACCTGATTTAATCCCCACTCGCTTTCGAAGGTAAAACGCTGGTCGGGGAGGAAATTCGCACTGTTAAAAAAATAAAACTCATGACCTAAAGGCTATAGTGATCAAAACCTCGCAAATGTTTTTTACCAGGCAAGCTATCCATCAGTTTCAATTAATTATTGATATACAATGAACAATTGATTCCTTTTCAAATATCTAGATGTAATAGGTAAATGCCAACCAAATAATAATAAAAATTAATAATTCAGAAACAAGTTGCAGCATTGGTTTATAAATATAAGAAAATAAAATGGAAATATAGTGTCACTTGTCACTTTCGAGCAATCAAATTTTTAATTAGTTTTGTTTTATTTTCTTATCCGCCCACTTTCAAATACGGCGCCAATTATAGGTTATATTTTTCTTTTTATTTTATTTTTGCTGGTAACCGGCGTTAAATTATAAAGTTGTACAAATTATGGGCAAATGGCTTCAACCACAAAAAATTGGTAACATATAAAATATGGCTTTGAATATATGGCCTTCATTATATTATGTAATATTGTTTTTTTTTTTGTAGGGATAATTTGTTTACGTTTAAATTTCTTTGAATATTAAATTTAAATTAAAAATAAAGTAAATTAAATGATTAAAAAATTATTAATAAAAAGCTTCATCGGTTAAATGAAATTAAAAAAGTAGTATATAATATATCTTAAATAATTGGTATGAGTTGTTTTTAATTTTTTCATCAACTAAGTTATCAATTTAATAAGGCTCAAAACATAAATTCACCAATATACTTTTGATAAAAAACCTTGCGGGTATAATTGTGCCTATAAAATATTAATTGATTCATCAAATTGAATCTTTTTAAATTTATAAAATTGAATTAATAAAATACTTATTTGATAATTTAAAAATGAAACTAATTATTAATTTCAAATGCTATATTTACTAATAAAAACATATGATAAATCTAGATTTGAAACTTTTTTATTTCAGATTAATTTAGATAAAACTTTTTGTTGATTTAGCTCAATGAAAAATAATAAAATCACTGCATTTGCTAATTATTTATCATTAATTTTTTAATTTGGTAAACAGTTATAGGAGATATTTGTAAATTAATGAGGATGCATTAATTTCCAAATATGAACATTCTTTTGTTTTAATGATATATATAAATAATATGAATTTAAACTACGGAATCAAATGGTACCTCCAATCAATATTAAAAATTTAAATTTTGATAATTCTTTATTTTAAAATATTTTTTAAAAATTACTTGTAACCTGTAAATGATTATAAATGATAAAAATAAATTACCAATATATCACTTTTAAGAATGTTCGCAAACGAAGTGTGAAAGGGAAGAATAGAGTGAGAACAGAAAGCATGGCTTTCCCTAATTCATTAGTATCTCAAATAGTACTCTCCATATGTGATGATTGATGACACGTAATTTTGTTTTTTTTGAAAAGATGATTGAACAACGTAAATTAGTAAGAATATCATAAATTTATATTAATCACGTTAACAAAACGCATCAGCTCTTCGGGGGTCAATTTAAATCTAACCCCTTAAACAATTATTTGCCTCTATCGATTTTTTTTTTTTAGGTGGCTTTTGTAACCGGGAGAATTTAAAAAATATTAAGACTTTCATTCTATAATAAAAAGAAATAAACAAAACCCTTAAAAAAAATAAATAAAAAGCATTAATTAAAAATTTTAGACAGCGTAATCCATTGGAGGGCAAAATAATAATGACTCAAGTAATATAAATATTAATAAAATTTTATATAATCAATAAATTAGTAACATAAATCATCACTTTCGGATAAACATGACTGAAAAATAGTTTTTTACTTTTAACTCGTCCATCCACGTCATTTCTTTTGGTAAAAATTTAATTTCAAATATGATAATAGCTATTTGAATTGCTACCGCGGTGATTTGAAAATTCTGATTTTTTTTTATAAAATTAAATCATACACTTGAATGTCAGTTATTTAAAAATGTTGTAAATAAAATAATATTTAGTTTATCAACTCTTTAATTAAATCAAAAATTATTTTACAAGCTTTAATTTAAAATATCCTCAAACAAATAATGTGCAATGGACCTATTTTGAAATAGAGCTATGGTATAGTAATGTGTATGTATAATCAAAATTGGATAAATAGTAATACATAAATCGTGACCTTAAACTATTATTTTAATTCATTAAATATTTTAATTTATAATATATATATAATATATATATATATATAATATATAACAAAATTTAACTTATAAAAAATATTTATTCCCAATGGCTTTAATCAATAAATTGGATGCTTATTAAAATATTTTAAACATGAAATTCGCTATCTAATATTTTCTAGAAATTTTTTTTATACTTTTAAAGTTATGAATTTCTGAAATATTACATATCGTCTTCACGTTGATGGTAAACAATAAATTTGAGAGTTTTTAAGCGTTTTATATTTAAAGATATTGATAGATGATTTTTATAAATTTTTAACAATAATTTTCAATATTTTTTTACATATAAAACAAGTTGTTTTGGTCGATTTTAAAATTTTATAAGTTTGAAATATATAGTAAATTTTTATAAATTAAAAATATTTAATAGATACAATTTTATAAAATTGAAGGTTTAATGGGATCCAAAATAAAATAAAGGGTGCTTTTGTAAAATTTCTAAAATAAAATACCAAGAGTTATTTAATTATTTAACCAAAAATAATTATTTTAATAGTTATACTACTTATATATTAATGAATAAATTTAATATGAAAATTAAAAAAATCTAAATTATTGTTTTTTTTTTACATAAAGGGATATTGTATTAATTAGAAACAAGCCTTAGAGTTTACAATTTTCTCAACACATAAAAGGAATAACTTTCCAATTACGTGCCTCCCTTGCAAGAGTATGGGCCAGCAAATTGTTTGCTTTGCCTTTTAAACCCAACCCAAATAGAAATATGTTCCCAATTGGATGCAAGTACCAATCTAAAATTAATTGTTTTAAATTTCAAAAAAATTGTTGGGCAATAATTATTAAAATTTTATAAACAACAGGAGGTTCACTGTTAAAATTTAAGTCCACCAAAAAACATTTTGGTTGTGAATGAATAAGTATTCATTGGAAATAATAATTTTCGAACAGTACATAATACGTATGTTTAGTTTACAATTTTGAATTCTATTCCCATGAAAATAAATCATCAATTTTTTCTTTAACACAAGATCGGGAATATACTTATTTAGGGGAATGACTAGAAAAATTATACTTTTTTAATTAAATACAAATTAATTTTAACCCCAACTCATCCTATTATTCTAAATACACTTAAGATTTACATTATAATATTGTTGGTCTTTTAAAAATTTGAGGGCACTTTCTTCAGGAAAGTTAATTTATATACAAATACGTTAAAGTAATTTTTTTGAAAGTAATACCTTTTATAAAAATATGACGGAATTAACATAATTTAATTTTTGCATTTTTTTTTTTTTAAATTGGATACCTTCATAACGCCATATTCGGTATTTTACCATCTAAGTTGCTTTTTTATAATAATCTCCACATCTTAAATTAAAAAAAAATTTAAAAACCCAATTTTTTGGCTATACAGTTTATGTTTTTTTCAAATATTAAATTTTTGAAATATTTTTATTGTTTTTAATTATTTCCAATTAATATTTAATTAATATAATTTTATAAATAGAGAAATTAATGTGTCAATAAAGTATTTTTAAATATTTAACTTCATTAGTTAAGTATTATCATGAAATGAAAGAAAAATTGAAGATATCAAAAAAAAATTTTATAAAAAATATAAGGTGATTTTATATATTTGAATTTTCGAACGTCTAAAAATATAATTTCCCCAAAATATAGGATTTTTGAAAGCAAAACTAGGCGTAAAAAGCGGGATATTGAATGCATTCATCGAGGTAGCAGCAGACTGCGGTTACAGTACAGTACCCCACCACCAACAAAGCAGTAGTATAAATTTCTTCCATTGGACTCCGTCAAATTGCGTCACCTTCATTTCATCGACGCTGGTAGCTGGGAACCGGGATAGAAACGTTTTCCTCCTTAACTCCCGGCCCATCACCCATAACTTTTCGTCTCTTTATTAATAATAATTTGTTTTCTTCTCTTCGTAACAATTCCTCTATTTCTCAAACAATTTTGATTTAACAGGCACTTACTCTATCTCGTCTCTTCAGATTCTCCCCTATCTTTTAAATTTCTTGAATTTCTTTCTCCATTTTACTTCTTGGGAAAGCAATTTCCTTTTGGTTTGCCTTCTCATCCACAAATGGTGCTATCAAAAACGAGTAGCCATAGGTTTTTCAAGTCTTAGATCCTCCAATCTTTTTTTCTGTCATCATCTTCTTTTGGATTTAACTTTCTTGGTTTATAATCTGAAACAAATCCTCTCCAGTCTCCACAACCACCAATTTTTGAAATTTTCTAATTACCTTAGTTGTTTTGAGAAAAGAACCACGCACAACTCTTTAATTTAGAATCTCTCCACCATCTCTACAAATATCTGCTTATTTCTGATTGCGTATAAGAACAGATGATTGCCAAAGAAGTTTCTACTACGAGTTTGCACGTGCAGTTGTTGTTGAAATGGCTTGGATTATGCTATTGTGTGGACTATTCCAGGCCTTTTTTGGTTTATTGTTTGGTGTTTTTTTCCTTATGAGAATCAGAAGGCAAAGCCTTCGGATTATCTAGCACCAGCTTTGGGCTTTCTATTCGCCTTATTATACAGTGATCAATCACTAGATATATAGTAGGTAATTTAGCGCATATATTTATATTTTCCCCTTTTATAGACAGAAGGTGAAAATTTCTGCAGTTTTCTGCTTTGATAATCTCTTCAGCCATGTATAAGACCGCCGATAAGAAGGTTGGTATTGATGGAGCAAAGGCCATCAGCTTGGTATATGTTGAAACAGATCCCTTCCTGGTCGCTAATGGACGTGTAAGTTTTTCCTTCTTTCTTCTTTGTTCTGCAACTGTCATTAACTTTAAATCTTCTTGTTTTATGGTTACATTTATTGAATTTGCAAGTGCAAATTGGATTTAAATTTTTCTCTAATTCTGGACATGGTGATTAATGCAAAACACCTGTGAGAAGAATTGAAGAAAAGAAACTTAATTGTAGCTTATGCCCATTTTTGGGAAATTTTCATTAATAAAAAAAACGTTGAAAAACTGTTGAAATTTTACAAACCCAGAACTAGTATTGGATTCATTTAAAAAGGCAAGTGGACAAGCCAGTTATTGTTAATAGGGAAAAAGGGAAAGAAAAAGTTAAAGTTGGAAACAGGGATGTGAGGAAGTCTGAAGATCCATTTCATTGGAAATGTCAATTTTTTTATTTTTTTTATTTTTTATTTTTTTGGTTTCAGTAATTCAGCTCATACAATAACCAAAATAAGTTTGGACTTTATAATAATAATTTAATAATATAGACATGCAACTAGTTTAAGAATAATTATGAAAATTAGCCTGAATATTAATGTTTATTTTTTAAAAAATTTTGAACATGTTCACATTTTTTAAGTGCAAGCTAACTGAGTTAACCCGTAAACTACTCTTTTATTAAAATGAAGTTGCTGGCCTTAGATTTTAATTTTGGAACTCTGCAGGGCAGAAGTATTACATTGCTTCCTGGCTAATTGGTCAACGGGTCCTTGATCCTAGGCTTTTTGTCTGATGGGATGAGAAGCACTATTTCTAAACCCAACCTCTGCTTCTTCAATTATCAAGAGACACTACTCATTTGATTGGACGCTTTAAACTCTCCTATTCATTTTAGGCACTCTTTATATATTTAATTCCCAAAAATAAATCTCATGTGGCAAAGGCAAGGTACTTAGTCCACTTATATATGTAACCCAAAAGTTTATACAATTACAACTACCACTGCTCCTCTGCTTTTATGTTCTCTTCTTATATGCCTTGAGTTGTACTCCAATGAACAAAAAAAAGTCCAATTCAAAAACACTTTGCTTGTGGCGGTAAAAGAATAGTATTTTGAGGGAAGGGGAACTCAGTGGGTGGGTGATTCTATAGTATAGACCTTAAGTTTCTGTTCTGATAATGCTAATAACTATAATAAACTAATGATGCTAATAAAAATTATAAATAGACTATGTGTTCTGCAACAGCATTAAATCAATTAGAATGCAATGAGCATATTGCCCCGTTTTGACTATGCCTTATCAAAAACACACTGCCCGATTTTGCATTTACTTCCTGGAAACATATTTGCATCAGTAGCACTAGAAAAGGTTTCAGTTTGGTAATTTGCTGGCATGTTATTGACGTCATTACCAAAATCATGTTCAATCAATTACACATGAATGAGGGGAAGTTCGCACTGGGCCAATAATTCAGTAATTAAATGAAGCAAAGCAAAAAATAATGGGACTATAAATAGAATTTACAGATGCTTGGACACCTTTGCATACCCTCCATATATTAGAAGGTGCAAAAAACGAAACAGGTAAAGAAAGATAATTGGCACTCTTTCGGAATTTACTGGGTGCTGTATACTACAAAAGCAACCTTGATGATTTGTGTCTATGCATCTAAGGGCCCTTTGTTCCATAATTTTTTGATGCTAGTTCAGAGAAATTCTTGGTATAGGAGCCATGAAGACAGTAATACAGGGCATTTGATGAGGGTTCTTGGAATGGAGGTGGCATGGAAATCAAGTGAACTTAATGATGTTTTAAACCATTCCACCAGAGGAGTTTGCAGGCGACTAATAACTCTGAGGTTCACCTCCTAAGAACCTCAATCATGACTCCATCATAAAATTCTACACATCTTGGATTGACGTCAATTCGAAGAATCCTTCACTTCATCAACATGAAATGCTGACTTCAGGCACGCCAAGAGAGTAATGAAAAACAAACAGATAGCCTTGTAGTGACACTTTTTAATCCTAAAATTAGTTTAATTGAAGTGAGTTTGAAATGTAATATGCATTTGAATGTGATGCAGGTACAGAAAAGAAATATCAACAATAGATATACGAGCAGTTAGAAAGAACTGGGCACTGCCAAAGTCCTCCTGGCCTTGCTTAATCTTCATGCCATGATCCTCCAGTTTTATACATAGAGATCTCAAGTGTGATAACATTTTCATTAATGGCCATCTTGGCCAAGTCAAGATTGGTGATGCTCGGCTAGGCAAAGCTATTCTTCCGTGAATCACAACATGCTCACAGTGTCATAGGCAATCAATCCTTTCCTTCTTTCTGATTACATACAAGTAATTTTGAATCTCTCAAGAATTTGAACTTTTGGGGTTTCCTCTGCAATTTGAATTTTCAGGTAACACCCCAGAATTTATGGCACGGAATTATATGAAGAGGAATATAATGAACTGGTGACATTTTAATTCCTTTGGCAGTGCGTGCGGTAATGCTCACTTCTGAAGTAACGCCATCAATAGCGAGTTGTTCGAATCCTGCTCAAATATACAAGAAAGTGACTCGGTGAGTTGTTCACTATCAGTTGTTTTAAAACTATTAAGTTGCAAGATGACCCCCAAAAGAGAGACTGAGGACAACATGTGCATTCCTGCTTTATGACTTGTCAGGGAAAAATTTACCTGAGGCATTTCTAACAAAATTAAAGGATATCGGAGCCCAACAATTTTGTGGGGAAATGTTTAGCGGACTGCTTCAAAAAGAATGCCCGCATGGGAGCCTCTTGTTTAGACCATTTCTAGCTTCTGATGAATCGAAATGGCTGGCCCTGCCTCAAACCTCCATTTTCAAGCTCTTTCTCCTAATGGAACAGAGAAATCATTTCCATCTTTGTTGAACTGATCCACCAAGGCCACAGAAATGACTATCAAACGGTAGCATGAATGCTGAAGAGAATGAAACACGATTTTCTTGAAGTGCAAATTTCTGACAAGGATGGTATGCACATACTCATTCACATTACATCGAATGAATCAGATTTTCTTAAAGTTTTGGTACTATAATTAAGGTTAATCATCATGTCTAAGAAACATCTGATGATTTGTTGGATTGATCATTTTTGAATGTTTTTATTTAATTTGTTTTCGCTTTTTGCCAAGTTCAGGTCACACAAGGAACATATACTTTCCTTTGGACACCACGAGTGACACTGGCAATTGAAGTTGCTTGTGGAGATTGGTGAAAGAATTGGAAATCACTGGACTGGGAAACCATTGGGAGAATTTGCTGAAATGATAGAAGAGCAGGTAACATCTTTAAATTCCAAGCTGGAAACAGTGGGGGTTTTTCTCCAGTACAGCAGCAGCACAGCTTTAATTATGATGTGATGATGATGATGGAACCCAAACCTACTTTCTGCTCCATCTCTTCGCGTTCTTCCTCCCAGCCCTTCGCTTTTTTGGCTTTTAAGCTCATCTGCCCAAGAAAGCAGCCATCATCCTGGAAGCAACAAGATTGGCTTCCAGGTACAAATGTACTTTTGACGAAACCCATTTAGAGCATTTTCAAGATAGAATACAAAATAAATGTGGCTTTTTGCCAGGAGAGCCATTTATGAATGATGATGCGAGTTCCTCAAAGCTTCCTTTCAACTCCTTCAATTAGCTCCAAATATAAATTAACTGCTTAGGCATATGAAGATAACTGTGGCACTAGTTCAGAGGGGGAGAGGTTCTCTCCTTCTACAAAGTTCTGTCCTGAATGATAGCTTGTGTGCAAAACAATACAAGAAAATGTACGAATTCTGGGGAATCAATAACTCAAATCCCCAGAGGAAGCTAAGCAGGCCTTCGGTCACTCGTTGACCAATTCCGTAGCCAGATGTTGCATCGATCACTGCTTTGGAGGAAGTTACACAAAAAGGAGATTGTTCAAGACTGTTGGAGCTGTCGAAAATAATTTTGGATTTCCTTGATCCTGGTTTTTCGCAGATGATAATGATGAAAAGCAGAGGTTTAAAATGGTGAACTTCCGATGTAATCTAGTAATGGTAATCTTAATTTCTATTGTAAGTAAGCTTGTGCAGTGTGTTTTCTAAGCATGCTTGGTAAAAATTGTAAACCCTTCAAAAGGGTCTTGAATTTTAGTTGAATCACTAAACAATTTCGACCAAAACATAGAAAACCATTTGTCGCTTCTGGATGGTACCTTGCGAGATGGAGAAAAACTCGGTTATTAAATTTATTCAAATAAATTTTTTTAACTTCAGTGTCATTTTTTAAACTTGAATGTCTTCAACGATAATAATTTATATATTTTGATATTAGTAATAATCAAGCTATTGAAGCATTAAATGATGGAACGAATGTAATGTAAATTTGGTATATTTCATTGGCCTAATAGGAAATCACTTAAGTTTAGCAAATATTAATTATTTTACTGGCTGTTTTAGTAGTTTAAGTTGTAATTATTAAAAATAAAATTTATGTCTTTTTATAATACCCGCCTTAGTTTTTTTTTATTTTTAGTATGGTAACTCAACCATTTCAATTTAAGTTAAAACCTTTAGTAGGATAAATCCCCTATTTTTTTTTAAAATATGAATTATTGATAATAATATAAGAATTACAAAAATTCGTACAGATGCATGCATAGAACTCTAGCGATAATAGAATCGTTGATCTTTTTTAACAACTAAAAGAAATCATAATTCTTTTGAAAATAAAACTGAAATTAAAAAATATAATATTCCGATCTTCTGCTTTTGATTTGTTTTTAACAAAAGATATAAATCTTCATAGTTCCCGTAAGGTGATTTTGGATTACAAAATAATAACCTCTTATTGGATCTTCTGTACCTGGATTGTTTTTCAAGGATTTTGCAACATATAACAACACAGATACAGTTTATGCTATGCCTCAATAGTTCAATGGAGAAATGTGACGCACTAACAGACTTCATTCAATCGAAGAATTCACACTTGAAAATCAAGAATCTAAAGTCTTCAACGCAAAATAAAATCAAAATATTAATATTATTTTAATTAGTAATAAACCCTCGCAAATGAAGGGACTACCCTCCATAAAAAAGGAGAACAAACTCTAAATATGGAGACAAAATAACATTAACAAAAAAAAAAATCTATTATTTGAAAAAAATATATCTGAATTTATTAGAGTGATAAAAGATGAAAAGCAAAGGAAGTGTAAAGCAAAAAAAAAAAAAAAAATAGAAGGTAAGGAGGTAAGCGGCTACGGCTGATTACAACAGCGGTAGCCCCAAAACAAACTAGGATTTAAAGATTAGAGAAAAAAAGAGAAAAAATTTCTTTCTTTCCTTTATCGATTAACTCGTAAATCCTAATTTTGAATTATTTAAATCTTCCATATAAGTTGAATATGCAGTTTTACTTCAATGAAAATTTTTCACTAAAATATAATTTACTTTAATGAAACTTTTTTCTAAATATAATATACTTTTTGCTGATCCAATTATCTGTTTAATTCCTTCACTTGGCTAATTCAAAGGTCCCCTTAAATTATTCTGTTTTTCTTAAAAAAGACGGGAATGAACTGGGAGACCCGGTGGTCTAACTCTCAACACTGTTCTGTTTCAGAAAAAGCAAAAGATGAAGTGGAAGTCAGACCATGGACTAAAAAATTGCATTGGAACCTCTCATAGATCCATCATTTGTCCATCCTTAATCCGTCCGTGGGCTCAACCGCAAATTAGGGCCTGCGTATTCATGGATTTCTCTTCTATTTAGGGGCCTACTTCTCTCTTCTTTTTTCATTTATTTTTTTAAATCATTTCGGATATAATTGGAAGGAGGATATTTTCAATCTATTTATTAAATTTTTCAGTATTGAAAGGCTAATGCAATGGACTTTATGATAATAAGGGTGGGTGCCTTGGACATTGAACTATCTTTACAGTCATGTTATAAGCAGTAAAGGAGTTAGGAATTAAAGTTAAAGGATTAAAAATTTTCAAGAATTAAACGATGACGAAAATTGAAAAATTTATTATTTTAAAGAGTAGAATGAAAAATTTTAAAATTTATGATGATAATTCTTAAAAAAAAAATTTAATTAGGGGTTGGTTGCGGAGCCGCCACCCCTAGATCTCCTAGCTCCATTAGTGGTTTGTTAGATGTATTAAAAATTAAATGTAAGTTAAAGTGATTAAATTTTTTTACTTTTTATAAATTAATAAATCAATTTAGTAATTAATTAATATTTTCATATAAAGTGGCGCGTGCTCTCCTAACCCAAAATTTTTTAAACAATTATTTCATAAAATAATAAATTTTTAATTTTATTCCTTTAAAAATAGTAGCATTTTTTTAAAATTTTATCCTTCTTTAGAAAATGTTATTAATCCGCTTAGCTTTGATTTCTAGTTACGGTCCTCAATTTGTTACATAGGACTCACTTACTAGTTAGTCTATCTAGTCTAGTTCTAAAAGTACAAAAGGCCCAGTTCAATATTTCCACATCATCCTTTGGGCCCATTATAGCTGATCCTCATCCGACGTGTCGTCCTATTCCGATTACAAAAGAGGACGTGCCAACGACGGAAATTACGTGTAATACCCAATGGGCCTTTTAGGGTATTTGAATCCAAATCAAAGCAAACAAGCTTTCAAAAGTGGCTTTAGCCAGCTAAATAAACCATAACCAGCCCACCACCTTCTTCTTCTTCTTCTTCCTCTTTCCTTTGTTCATTCACAATACGCAACAATGCCTGCTTCTACCGCAATTCCAGTGAATTACGCTTCGGCTCCGCCTCATCTCCGATCCCCACCTTGGCAAAGGATCCGCGTTTCAGCCGCCAATGAATCAATTGTCTCAGTACCTTCTAAAATCTTTTGCTTCCCAGAACTTTCCCTTCCGAACCCACCTTCCTCTCGGATGAGACTCATCCATATTATTCCAGAGGAAATCGATTTACAGATCTTTAAAATTCCTTGGGAAGACTATGAAGACAATTGATCGGCTTCTTCAGGTCTGCCCAGAATTCGGAGTTTTTATGATCACCGACCACGGCAATTTCTAGTCCAGAGTTTGCAATTGGCCTGCTCAATGAAGCCGATCGGTTTTCCGAGGATTTAGTGCACAGGCTAGATATGGGATTTCCTGAGATTCGGAGAAGCTTAATAAGAACAAGAAGCAGATTGCGTGGGTTCGTTCCGAGAAGGGAAGAATGAACTGCGTGAGAGAGTACTTCGGTGCACGAAAAGATAATCAAGGATTTTAAGGTAAACTTTGCTTTTCGGATTGTCCCGATATATCGGGTTTCATTAACTCGAAATTGATTTGAAAATGAGTAAAATATGGTTTAGATCCATACTTTATTTAAATTATCACTTAAACCTTTTTTTATATTTGAGAAATTCTTTTTTATATTTGGAAAAGATAAGACGCTGGTTTAAACCTTTTACACTTTATCTTGTTATTGAGGCATATTTCGAAAACACTTTTTTGTCAGAAAGATCAAATAATGAAAACGGAAACGGAAGTAAAATTTTTAAAATGTCACATGATTTGAATACAATATAAGGACTCAATTGTATTTTTAGTCTTTGAAAAAATTTTGATTGGGTTTACTATTTTTAGGGTAGGATGGTTTGCTATTGCCTTTAATGAATGTAGCCACATTTTTGGACCCTGCCTGCTCCTCATGTGCTGCTTGCTTCGGTATAAAATTTGTCCAGACTTCCAAATTTTTTAAAGACAGTTTGACACTTCATTGAACGTCACGTAGGTTACTTCTTAAGTAGTAATTTTTTTTTTCAAAGGAAAGAAAACTCTTAATAGTAAAATAATTAAGCATCCAATCTCAAATCAGTTTGCGTCAGCTATAGGAAATTCCAAGAAATGTTAAGGGATTTGGACTGTTCACCCTGATTGCAAATCAAAATTTTTAACACCGGAACAGTCAATTGTTTATATGAATTTGGTTTGTAACTTAGTCATGGCAGAACAACTGAATAATAGATATGTGTATCACTTTAAGGGGTGGTTTCAATGGTAAAGTCATGCTTAAGTTTTAGTGGAGGATCAAGTTATGGGAAAAAAGGTTGTAGGCAGCTACGAACCTTGAAACAAGAGGTGTCTTCGTACCCAAAACAAAACGAAAAAAGGGAATTGAAAATATTTTAAATAAATGAAATTCTTGATTTGCTTGTACCTGGTTAAGTTGCGCTCCTGAGTTCCAGAACCAAACAAAAAATTGGTAGCTTGCCAGTTGATGGTAGACCCAGGAGGTAATAATTTTTGTTAGCTTGCAGCTGGTGGAAAAAAAAAGAAAAAAAAAAAATTGTTTGTACTTTTTTTTTATTTTTATTTTTAAGTATAGATAACAATAAATTGTGGTTTAACATTAATTTTCTGAATTTGCAGCGAATGAATGGAGAATATTGGCACAGCAAACTTGAATGCAATTGCTGAAATATTGTGTAAATATTTGTAGAAAGAATAG